GAAATTGTTGGATATTTGTATATTTTATAATTATTTTACTATTCAATTAGGAATAAATTTAAAATGTCTTATAATATCATCTAATTTAAAAAATATTTTTTACAACTATAACAAAAAGTAATATATTAAATAATTTATATTGCAAATAAATTGATAAATAAAATACAAAATTTGGTTATCAATATATAATTATTAATTATAATATTTTAATAAATATGATTAAAAATTATTAAAAAATGCTTTCATATCATATTTTTATCAATTATAAAACAATAAATAAATATAATTAATTTTAAAAAAAGTATAGACCATTTCATTTGATGGATGTCCTTCTATGAGAGAGATATTATTTATAGACCTTATACTATTTATAGATATTTGCATTATTTACGGAAGCGTGCTATATAAACCAATTCACTTTATACTATAAACGTCCCTTATAAAAATAGACTCGAAGATATATTAGATGGTCCCCTTTTTTTATTTTTTTTGAGCAGCAAAATATAATATTTTTCCAAATATAAATTGGACAGCCCTTATCTGTGAGAGAGAAAGAGCCATAGGGTAGCTTCAAAATATCCCACATAAAATATTCACGGAAGAAAACACCCTATAAAAGTAAACGTCAACACGCGGTCTGAATGAGTGCATGTGAGTGGGTCCCGTGAGTGCATGACTGTTGCTAACTGGAAAAGCAACAAAACCTGTGGTGCGGTGGGGGCCATACTTTTCAAAAATGTTATTACAAATTTTCGAAAAAGTTTTCAAAAATAAGTATAAAAAAGTCGAAAGGTTTCAAAAATAAGTATAAAAGAGTCAAGGCTTCAAAAGGGCGCGGCACTAGTTCTCAAAAATAAGTATAAAAAAGTCAAGGTTTCAAAAGGAAGGGCCTGCCACTTCCGGGCTCTTTAAAAAAAAGACCTTACGGTCCCCTGGGCACCCGCCTACATACATCCGCTCGTGTAAAAGTAAAGTTTTCAAAAATAAGTATAAAAAAGTCAAGGTTTCAAAAGAGCGTGACACTTTGGAGCCACCCAGCGCCTAGACAGGCGCCCAGCAACGCGCCGGTTGTTTTTTCACTTTGGGGTGGGTTTTTTCTTTCCTTTTTTTTTGAACTTTGGGGATTAAAAACAAACCCCATAACGTTTTTATACAACGTAAGAGTCAAAATGACCCCTTTTGAAGGGTTTAAAAACACGAAAAAGGCCTTACGGCCCTGAACGGCACCCGCCTAGGTACATTCGCCCGTGTAGGGCCACCTGGGTCTAGACGTGCTGATTTTTTATCCAGACCGTCCAGGCCGCCAGGGTCTAAGTGTGCGGAAGGTCGCCTGGGTCTAAGTATGCGGATTTTTGGTCCAAGCCGTATAATCCACCGGGGTCTAAGTGTGCGGATTTTTTATCCAAGCCGCCTACCCAGGTACATCCACTCGTATAGAGCCGCCTAGTTCTAAGTGTGCGGATTTTTGGTCCAGGCCACCTAGGCACTAGGCATACCGTTTTTTAAAACATTGTAAAACGTTTGATGATGTCATAACTGGTTTGATGACACACAACCAGTACGACCTGTATCGAACTAGCCGGATCCCATTTTCTCAACAGATGCGAGATAGCTCTATCGATACCCGAGCCAGGTGGTAAAAATCTGGGTCAGATCGGCAAGTTTTTAAAGTTTAAACCTTGTATAACACTAACACCAAAAAATCAAAGAAGACAACTTGTTCCAATAAGAATCAAAGCAGACGGTTTGGTTCCAATAAGAATTGCATGCAGTTAAGGAGATCCGGATGGCTCTACCGCTACCCAAGCCGAATCGAGCAAATCTGGATCAGATCGACAAGTTTTTAAACCTTGTATAAGGTGGCCTTGCCGATTCCCAAGTCAGATCGAGCAAATTCGGATTGGATCGGATTGGCGAGTTTTTAAACCTTGTATAACACTAGCACCAAGAATCAAAGACGACAGTTTGTTCCAATAAGAATTGCATGCAGTTATTGCTTTCAATGCACTAGGGTAGCTCAGCTTCACCAAGTCATATGTGAAGGGAAGGCATACTATGATTCATACCATCACAGAAAACATACGGTCATAGGTATCATTATCCAAGAGATGGACAGTCATAAAGGACCTACCATCACAGAAAATATACCGTCATAGGTATCATTACCCAAGAGATGGGCAGTCATAAAGGACCTACCACTTGGATCATGTCACGTTACAATGGCTCCTACTCTGTCCCATCACTGTCTGTCCATTCATTGGACAGTGATGAAACTCAATACCAATATATTTCTCATGGTCATGGATCACTTCCTCCATGAGAAACAGACTTCAGAGGACATGGAATATGCTTTTTCACACATAAGTAGCCAAAGTAAGCAGTTTGGCTACAGCTAGTAGTGACAACCAACGATATCGTTGAACACATTCCAACCCAATTTCCGCTCTCAGGTGGGGACTCATTAGGGTGGCAAGACCAAGTCAGGCAACTTGACTTGGACGAGTCTGCCAGAGACTCAGCGAGTCCTAAAGAACTGGTGAAACTCCGCTGTTTCTCATGGTTCTGGTTCTGCAGTTGCCAAGTCCAAGTCAGACTCGCCAAGTTTCGAATGCCAAATAAACCCATCAGTGCTTACATAGGGTTAGAAACACAAAACAAAATACAGATATGATACCCATTAAAGGCTCGCAGGCAAGCTTTATTATGAAATTGATAAACTTTATTCAGGGGTCAAGCTTGATCCTTTGTTTTGCTTCATACGCATTCAAGCTTGACTACTGTTGTTGGTTCCTATCTGCCTAATAATGCCAATAATCGATACCAGGGAATTCCAAGATTAATACACAGCCTGACTTGCATACCATCACATAGAGAAAAGATAACTGTTAGAGGGGAATAAGGGAAAGGCAAAATTGCTCCAAGTGGAGTTACTACTAGGAACTGTATTAAGCAAACCCATCATCTAAAATAAACCAAGATATAAGGATTTTCCGAAAACACACAGAGGCAAAGCAATCACCATTTGTTATGCAAATAATGTCCTCAAGCCCCAGCACCCCTGTACTAACATGCTTCCCAAATTCTCACCAAAAGTATTGTAAGTCCCATTACAATGTTAAGTTGTTAAAGAAAACAAATCCCAGCAACCGAGACTTCCCCATAAGCACGCTTGAACTGCTCGATGTGTGAATTGTGATTCATAGAAATCAAAATCCCAACCATTAACTAAAAATGAGCCCCAAGTAGAAGTGATCTCCTCCCATTCACCATCTCTCCAGTTCTGCTTCACCTTGAGATGGCAGCGGCGCTTCTCTACCCCCAACCAAATTGAAATGGGCTTTTAGGCAAACTTCACAATGGAGTGTGTCTTTCTTTTCGTTTGAGCAGGGTGTCTTCCTACAAGGTTTATTTCCCAGACTTCTCTTTTGTTCTTTTCCTATGACAAATGATACTCCCCTCCCTCTTTCCCAAGTCCACAATGCCAATTGCTCAACAATGACTCATTCATTCATCAACTACGTCCTACAGGATTTTATTAGGTTTACCAATAAATTAAGACCAAAACCCCTACTTAACAGTGGCAAGCAGTAACGTGCCGACCATATCCTCCAATTACGAACCGATTTGTTAGAATTTACATTGTTTGAATCAAGCAGCATGCCTCCATACAACCAGGTTTAGCTTATCCCAGCCAAAATTTTCTCCCATTCAAACCAAAACAAAGGTGTCACTCAGATTGGACCATCACCAACAGCAAAAAAAAAAGGCCAACTAGATCCAGTTTTCCGAACTTTTAGCAAATAACTATTCAGCTTTATGCCACATGCGTTAGAATAATCTGACATGCCAACACACTAGACACATCCCCACACTCATATAGACAGGGGAAATCCAAATCAATAAGTGTGACTAGAAAGAATTTGCAGACATGGTGTGTTGGCTATGCGGACATACGAGTCCACTGATTGGACAAACAAGACATGCATGTCTGCATTGTAAGACATGTCTGTACATAGTAAGACACATGTCCATTTGTAAGACATGCATGGTTGCACATGTCTATGATTTGGACAATCTTTTCTTCGATTTGGACCCACATATTTTTCTTTTTAGTAAATTTATTATTAAAGAGTCACAGATTGATTTTATAAATAAATTTATTATTAAAGAGTCACGGATGTGTTCTATGGACTTGTACAGGCATGTTGTACAGGAGGTGGAACAATATATATAGGTGAGTCAGATTCCAATATACAGCTAAGACAATGTTTGGTTGCTTAATCCAATATGGTTGATAGTGAAGAATTTGCTTGTGTTTTACACCTTGTATGGATTAACAAGGTTAGTCTCAACGGAGTGTATCTTATGTTTTTTTTTTTTGAGAAATAACGGAGTGTATCTTATGTTTCTGGCATTAATAATATACTTTAAAAAAATTGCATATTTCATAAGACACTTCATAAGATGATTATAAAGCTATGGTCCTGAGAAAATTCTGCTTTTCTTTTCTTACGGGAAAACTAAATTACAGTAGGCTCAAGTAAAGCATATCCTACTTGCCTGAGTCTCCATTTCAAGTTGTGGGAATGAGGGAACTGGGTAGAATTTAGGTAGTTGTTTCTCTCCAATACAAGTGAAACAACAGCTAGAGCTTCTGATACTTATAGGACAGCAACCTTTCTGATATCAAATGAAAGCTTGCATTCAAGATGAGATAAAATGCATACAAAGGTGACAGTTTTATTTTCCCATACGGCCAAATCAATCACAAGAATCCAAAGTTCAAATGCTTAAAAGAAGCGGTTCCATGCTGAGAAGTCATTAACCATAATAATCTACCTGGTAATCAACACAAATTTTGAGAAGCTAACCATAAAGTTCAATAAATCACATTCGCTTGCTTAAGAAGCTTTTCACTTAGACTCAAACATCAATTGGAGACTTCAATTTGATGGAGATTGAATAATAATGATATGTGACCATTATAGAACCTTCATAATACCCACAAAGCACTTCTAAGTCGCAGCACAACGTCAACCTCTATAATTATACAATGTTTGTCTATACTTTATTTATTATTTTGATCAGTTATGTGCCTCTATATTCTAAACCTAGGACTTTAGAAAAGAGCACCAGGCTAGCTTGACATGCTAAACATAATTGATATAAAGGATCCCAACTCTCTGAATTAAAATATCATCCTTTATTTGAGAGCAGCCTTTACTATCGTAAAGGTAAGATATAGCATCGAAGGATGGTCTTAAACATAATTAAACACTTAATTTCCGCCAAAATGAGGACTCCACCAAACTCAAGAATTATTACAGGACTTCTACCATTAGTACTTCTTCGCTTACATATATATGAGGCTCTCCGCTTCAGGCTTCAACTCCCTATCTGTAACTCCACATTCTCCAATGAACTGTTTTGTGGGAGAACCTGTTGCTTCATTACACATTCAACCATAACTTCTCCTTGATCTGAACATCAATTTCCTGAACAATGGAACCGAAAAATTTGAGACAGAAAATAAGATATTTGACACAAAATCTTCTGAACAAGTCACAAATCCATTCCAATTAAACAAAGATTCCAAGAAAATAATTTTTTCCAAGAAAGTTCAACTGTTATGATAGTAATACAAAAACAGCTCCGAAAATATCATCAACGAATAAAACCCACATCGAAATGAATATTAAATTATTGAAATTTTAAATTTATTCAAGAATACTGATTCATCACAATCCACAAACCATTTTGCTAAACCAAAACCAAAACCAATGTCAAACTAACCAGATGCTGCATCCTTGCTTGATTGGACCCATTTCCAGTAATGCCGTATCACTCGAACAGCATCCTCTGCAAAGCTTAAACCCTCATACTCTCCCTCCTCTGTGAAGAATTCTCCATTAGGCAAGCAATCAATTCTCGCCTCAACACAATGAAGTACGTAGCGAGCAGGCAAACCAGGATACGAAGCTGAAACCTTCTCCTCAACCTGCGTCTTATAAGTCTCCTTAACTATCTTGACACCATCAAATGAACCCAAAGCAAACCCCAATTCTTCCCTAATCGCTCTCATAGCCGCCCCCTCTATGCTCTCTCCAGGCTTCATTTTCTCTGAAAGAGGCCTCATCCTCTCCCGAACGCTCCCATCGCTCATCTCCTGCTTCTCCTCTAAGAGGAGCTGACCATCAGTATTCCGAACATTGACAATGGCAACATTAAGGGTTCGAGTAGGTGGGATGGAGTCAGTGATCAGGGTTTCACCATGAAAGAGCTCGAGCCATAGGTTTGTGATGTTCTTGGTGCCCGGCACAGTGCCCCACGAATGGAGATCATAGGGGAGGCGAGGCTTGAGCCATTCGGCTAGGGTTTGGGGGCACTGAAACTGGGTAGGGTTTATGAAAGGGGAAGAAGACATGGGAGGTGGTTTGAGTTTGGGGAAAGAGAGAGTTAGGGTTAGGGAAGGGAAGAGGTTCAGAGAACAGGGGCTTGGGTTGATGAGAGAGAATATGGGGGCATGCATCGTCGCTCTTCTTCGTCTTGTTCCATGAGAGAGAGAGAAAAGGAGAGTGCCCTTGGTGAATCGACGAGCGCCACTGGCACACACACTCCCGAGATTACTGGGTCTTGGATGTAAACTTTGCCTTTTCCCATTTTTTTAAGGATGGTTAAATTATCGTTCATATATCTATATTTTTACTTTACTTGTAAAAAAAAAAATCGAACTTTTCGAAAAGTCGACTATATAAGTATATACATACATATTTTTTCTATTTTTTATTTTTTATTTTTTATTATTATTTTTTTTATAATTTCGGTTTTGGACTAAAATGACTTTTCCCGTAATAAATTGAAGAAAGCGATATTAAGGTAATTTAATTATCCTAACATTAGGGTAATCTTATTAGCATAATGGTTCCTATTGGTTCAAATACTATAAACAGAAGTTAATATCAAGGCTATCTTCTACTGAACCAGATGAAGCTCCTCCTCTCTCGTTCGCCCTCGCCTCTCCTGGTGGCTACAGACCCTGTGCCTCCTGGGTCAATAAAAGCGCACTTTCTCAAGAGCTTAGCTGCTGTAGCGTGGACCGTGGCATTCATCGTGCACAACACTAATCGCCTTTGGTCAGCGACGGCCAACCAGATGCTGGTCAGTTTTTCCAGGAGAAGCTTTTAAGGCATGAATTTGATCTGATTATGGGAGTTTTAGGAAAGAACTCGATGATGCATGGAGATGGAATGCTAAGAACCTCCATTTGAAAGAGACCCCCAATTCAGAGGATGAATTGAAGAGCGAGGAAAGAAGCGTTTAGAAAGTGAAATTGAAGCGCTCATGCAGTTTTAGGAAAGCTCTCTCTTTCTCTCTACCTTCTGCATCTCTCTGCTTGAACAAAACGAAGATAGAGAGAGGGGGGAGAGTGGTGGAAAAAAAAAAAAAATCAGATAGACACAAAATAAAGGCCAAAGTGGCTCCAAGCCAGTTTACAATCAGGGCCACATCTAACAGAAGGGTTATCCGCCAATGGCTTTACAGCCAATTTTATACCAAATTCTTTCTCCGTGTCCTCTTCGTCCCCATTAAACCAAAAATTCTCCTCCAAAGAATTTTCAGCCAAAAAATTCAATTACAGTAGCAGGAAATCAATTAGAGAGAGAGAGAGAGAGAGAGAGAGATTACATGAACAGATCCAAAGAATCGAAAAAAACGCTGCCTATAAGCTTGTACCAAACTCAACAAATCAGAGCTTCCAATTCATCTGAAACCTGCAACCCACAAATTGGGTGCCCAGTATACAGATGAGTAGAAAAAAATGGAAGTTATTATTTTCTTTTTTTTGAAGAACGTTAACTTTGTAATTATAAAATAGAACGGGAAAAGAAGATGGCAGCCCCCAGCTTGGGTGCCCAGTATACAAAGATGATGAGTAGAAAGCAGAATAAGACAATATAGAGAGAGAGGAGAGGAACAGAGAGAGGCCCTATAACAGAGACGGAAGTTCTTATTATCTTCATTATTTTGGAAAAAAAAGGGTATTTTTAAATGATCATGGACATCTTTCCCCCAAAATGTTGAACATTGAATATTTGTACTATTTTCCTACATGTTAACTTGCTATATTCAATGATGTACCGTAGTTGTTGGGTTTGGAGTGGGGACAATACCGGGATCGGAAGCTAGGGTTCGTGAAATACTAGAAGATCCCTATAGTTGGAAACGCCGTCCACATGTTAGGGATTGAGATCTCCAAATGTTAGGGATCAATATTCCAACCTTTTTGGATTTTGATCCCAACTTTTTGGGGATCTTGTTATCGGCCTTAAAGTTTATGATAATCTAGATTTATGTATCCTTTTGAAAGTAGGGATCTCATTATTGATAGCAGGCAAGCAATAGTTGTATTGCTAGTTGGCTATAAACAAAGAAAATCATCAATTTGGTAATTATTTTGGTCTTTAAGGTTGGAATTGAGATCCATAATAACAAGATTTGAGATTTCCAAATCCCCGAGATCTATTTTGAGAGCGACAGAATCAAGATCCTTAAAAAGATCACCTACCAAATTATGAGATACCTGTAACTATGTTATTTACATTCGAAATTTGTTTTTGCATTGATTACATATACTTGGCCTTGGAATTGAGAGCAGGATTGAGCAATAGCAGAAGTGTTGCCTAATTAGTAATAATGTCAGGTCTGGAGAATCTTCCTTAAATATTAAATGGCTTGATCCATAAAATTGTGCTACCGCTCTAGTTGATGGCCTTTACAATTTTTCATTTGCATAACGGAAATTCTTAAGAGGCACTTGCCAGCAGGTGGCCCCAATGGATTGTCTGAACTCAGGAAAATTGCGGCAAGATTTGAAGAGAAGATCTTTACTTATGCGGAGAACCCGGTTCTCTTTTCTCTTTTTTTTTTTTGAGTGGGGATGACGAGCCCCTACTCGTTTTTTTAAATATTTAGTGGTTTTTGAATATGCAAGTTGAGACTGAAAGCCTGAACCTTAGTTGGGGCATAGGTAGTACAACCACTAGGTCCCCAACCCCATTCTCTCGTTCTCCTTGTCAATTTGCAAAATTTATATTTTCAGTTGTATACCTAGTGATTGTTTTTTTGGTTTCCCTTCTTTTTCTTCTTTTTGACTTCCCCTCAAGAAATTTCATCTCATTCTACAGTTTCACGTCCCTATTATTGAGAGAGACCAATATTTTAGGAAATAAAATATTTTAAATAGATTTATTTTAGAAGGAAAAATGGCAAATAGGAGATAAGATATTAATCTAAAGAGACATTGATTAGGTTGTTTTTAAAGAAATACTGAGTTCACACAAGAAAGAATCAAGGGGATGGAAGATTGAGGTCATATGAGATAAAAGATGGGCTCACGTGAGGGAGGCTACAAGCTAGAGAGATGAGAAGCAAAGCAAAAAAAGAATTATATGAACTTTTTTCTAATAATTTCAGGTATGATTCTTAAATTTTTGTCCGTATATATTCTCATAATAAATTTTTTTTCTTCTAAATCTTTAATGGTTGATCCCATCAAATACTAGGTTTTTCTACTTTTCTTTTCTTTTCTTTTTGTTTTATTTCATTTATTTTTTTCAAACTTGGGATGGCACAGTTTCTTATGTTCAATTAATATTGATTAAATATCATTATTGATTTTCTATTTTTAATTTTTTTAGACTTAATCTATGTTTTACAATGATGTTTTTTATTTGGCAAATTATCAGAAATATACTTTAATTTTTGGTTTATTATAAAAAAAAAATCATATTTTCGTAAACTTCGTTTATACTCATAAGTTTTTTCTCATTTTTGACATGTTTTTTTTTATCAAGATAACCTTCACGGTAGTCGTATTACTGTAAATACCCCATGTATCACGGTACTTAAAGTGTTGTGATGAATTTCAAAAGTTATACGCTACTTAAAATGCCACGACGACTCGAAAATGTATCACGGTACTCGAAAGATCCCGATGGAGGACACCCGCATCCTTTCTTCTTGCCCTTTTCATTGCATTGTTGCCTCTTCTGTTGTTATGCGCACACACAGAGCCGGAAATCATCATATGCCAAGCACAATTTTCAGAATTACACCCACTGGTTGATATGATGTTCATCAACAAGTAACTGAAATCTTTGAAGCCATCATTGGTGGTTACAACCCTAAAGGCATCGTTAGAGAGGCGGGTGCTGCAGTTGAATGCCACAGACGGAGGGGCCCTTCCTAATGATCCCTTCCTCAAAATCCCCCATCTTACAATGCCTTCCCATTGTGTGAACAAGAGGTATTCAAGAAATCCAAAGACCCACCTTGCAATCGGCACCCATGGTGTGAAGAAGAAATTTTCAAGACACCCAAAAGCCCATCTTCAACAGATTTCGAAACTATAGACCTTTTACGTGACCTCGAAGAAGGACCAAGGAAAACATCAGGCCCACCCCAAATCTTCCACCAACCCCACTTGAGAAGAAACCTGGCAGAAAAAGAGCACCAGAACACAAAGAGGTGTATCACGGTACCGGAAAGACCCTGATGGTAGCAGGGAGGGAGAGAGGATGTAGGTGTCCTCAGCCGACCATTATCTTATAACATATGAAGACTATCACGGTCTTTTGGTGCCATCATACACCTTCAAGTCTTCATCGCATTTTAAGCGTGTATAACCTTTGAAAGTCATCACGACACTTTTAAGTACCGTGATATATAGAGCTTTCACAGCAATACGACTACCGTGAAGGTTATTTTGGTAATAAAAAAAAAAAAAGTAAAAAATAAAATTAAAGAGTATGGACGAGATTTGCAAAAGTGTGAGGTTGTTTTCTAATAAATCGAAAATTAAGGTATATTTCTGATAATTTTCTTTTTTATTTTTAAAGCAGCGTGTTGACCCTTTAAAATTTCACTGACTCATTTAAGACATATGTCCCAAAAAAAATCTTTTTTTATTTCTAAACAACAATGTTTTTTCACTTTTCGTTGTTATTACAATTTTCAAATTATCACAAGAAATTATTGTCATGCTTTTATGCTTCTTAAAATAATCTAAATAAATACTTAATATAGACTTACCTTTTTAATCTTCTTAGCTTTATATTTGTAATTACTTATGCTCACAAAAATATTCATTACTTATCTTAAAAGTTTTATTGTAAATTTTTTTTGTTTTTTGAGATAGAAGAGCACCCTAATATAGAGCCCGAGTAAAGAGCTAAGCATGCAACGAGTAGCATATCTTTAGTGTCTAACCCTCTTGGAGTTGTATACAATGACCTCAAGCTATAGCGAGAAAAGGTTCTTATTCCTATTTTCTTTATGCTTACCTCGACAATCGCAGAACAACAGAAATGGTAGCGTACTCACATTGCAAGTAGTTTCCTTTGATAGGATCGCTTTATTGAGGTTGTTTCTTCCCTTTTGCAATTTTGTGTTTCCATTCTTTCTAAAGTGCAGTAAAATTTAATATTTATTACAAATTTTTAAACATTTGAAATTAAATACCTCCTTTTTTATTTTCCAATTTTGAGTTCTTAATAATATGAATAATTGTAAATACTTATAAGTATGATTGTAGCATAATAAGTTGTTATTTACATCCCATATTATGATTTGATTATGCTTTTGTA